GGAGTTTAAACCACTGGGTCCAAAACTTGAACCGCGGTCAACTACATGGGAGTCCAGCAAATAGCCATTACACCAACTGCTGGTCCCAAATGCCCTTTTTATTACACTTTCATAAGCTAGAATAATCAGTACTTGAGTAATCAGGAGTGCCATTTGAAAAGTAAAAATTTTGGAAAAAGGCATGTAAAAATGTAATCTCTTAAACTTATTAAAATTAAGTAATACCCTATAGAATTCCTCAAGGTAAAAAGTCCTTTCAGAATGAATGAGTCATGAGATAAATATATCAGTTCTTAAAACTGTACGTTCTCTAAGTGTACTGCATCATATTTACTTACTGTATATGTCAGAATCATCTGTTAATATCCACACTTTGAAGTGACCGTCTTTACTAGCTGTAACCAAGGTGGGGTTTTCAGATCTTTCTGCATTACAGAAACACAGAGCTGTAATGTGGTCTTCATGAGGCATGTTAATCTTCGTGTTAAGAACAAACCTAGTAGGAAGAAAACCACAAATTTATTCTTCCATCAGACAGTATGATACATTTTCATTTAGGAATTTCTTACATATTGTACATGTTACAAGGTCATCATTAACAGGCAACTGATAGATCATCACCCAGAATGACAAGCGCTCTCTTTCCAGTGGTCGTAGGACGCAGAGTTATAATACATCATCTGTGTCCGACTTATAGAGAGATTATGATACACAGTGGCCAACCCACTGGAATGAAATGAGTACAAAACTGGTGTCATCGATTAATGATAACTTGAAAGGGCACAGCATCGAACTGTAGGAAAATGGCAGAGAATCCAGATTACTGTCTACTTTTTAAAATGAACAGAAAATAGAATGACTGAAAAGCCTCAACTGTGGCAAGAAAATATGCAAAAGAAATGACCTATTCAAATCGTCCTGGTCATTATTATTTTCAGTCACCGAAACAACCTCTTAAAGCTTATATCCAGCTTGAGGGCAGTGCTTTGAATAAAAAATAACCCACGGCAGCACTGTGCTCTTAAAAGAACATCAGGGCAGCACAGTGTTATGATCTAAAGATGTACAGGGTGCAAGAGAGGTGACTGGGACAACTAATCTCTTTAGGCATGTTTCTTCATCTCTAAAATGTGGACAACAGGCGTATCTCACAGTGTTCTGAAGATTAAGACAATGGGTATGAAAGTTTAGTTCTCGGCATGCATTATATGTTATTATAGCCAAGCACTAGAAACCAGTGGGTTCCTTATCCAATCATAACGCATGTTACATTGCATTACCCCTCTGCCTACACTCCTTACTTTTCCAAACGTTAAAGAAAGAGCAGATCCTAACTGTGGATTAGCCTGGAATTAAGTATATGTACTTACAGAGGTGTCACTTTTCCAGGTTTCTTCACCTACCCAAAAGATGACATTATGACTTAGAGGATGGACACCAATATTTTCTCAGAGCAGAAAGCTTAAATAAAGGCTTTATAAGAAAAGTTAATAGTTTCTCCGTATCACTAAATCTAAAACTTATCAAAATAATACATCTTAAAGACAAACAATAGAAACTATAATTAGGAAATCAAATATTATATACTATGAAATTAAGAACTGATTATATAGACAGTATTACCCTTGTGTTTTCTTATTATATAGCCACAGTTTCATCTGCAATTCAAGCTCAGTTTCTTTTTCTTGTCGTTGTTCCACGGTTGCAAGCCAGTTTCCAAAGCAGCCAAATGCAGCCTTTGTTAGTTCAATTTGGGTCAGACCATAATCATTGATATATTCTTGCTGTATAATATCTAACTGCAGGGTTAAAAAGAAAACCCAAAATGTTTATTAAACACATAAATGTTAAAGCAGTCAAGGAATAATTAATTACATCCAAAATAACTTTTAATAAGACTTTTACATAAAAGGAAAAACAAACTAATTGTTACTATGGACAACAAAACTGCCATTAAAAAGGGCATGTATAATATTTTATCAATTAAATAGAGATTATTCTTCAGTGACACTGAATATCAGCAATGACTAAGACAATACACGATACAACAGATGTTCAATATACAGTAATTCTTTTTACTTGTTTTAAAGAATACACAGTTTTATGCAAAAATCTCATGACTATATTCTACTACAATAGAAAAGAAGAGATCAGAAATAAACCTATGACCTTTAAGATATGAAAGAAGACTAGCAATGCTGTAAAAAGTCCAGCATTTTAGTTGTGGTTGTTTTTCAAACCCCATATCTTTGCCTATTTACCAAGTAAACAAGAGTACCTACTCTTTTGTGTACTAAGTGCTTACTATTTCAGGCACTGCACTAGATAATGAGTGTATATAGATCAATAAGCTTCCTTTCTTTGAAGGTTTAAAGACCCTAAAGAGAAAGAGATATTAACTGTTATGGCTGCTATGATAGAAATCTGTAAATACTGTAGGGCACAAGGAAAAAGTGGGATCCAGACTAGATTGCATTTATCAAAATTAAAAGAAGTGTTCCTTGGGGCCAACAGGTGACATGATGGTTAAGGTGCTGGACTCTCATATAACTGACCATGGTTCTAGTACCAGACACAGCAGCTTGAAAATCACATGTGCATGCCCAAACTCCAGAGAGGAGAATGAAGAAATTGTGTCATGGCTACTACCCCCCTTGGTGGTGATTTCTCACCTTCCTTCTCTGTGTCTCTCTGGTGAGCACATGTGCACTATGGCAAAAACATTAAAAAAAAAAAAAAGTGTTCCTCTTTAATATACACCAAAACTTTTATATTAAATACGTGAATATGACACTATTTTACTACAAAGTACAGATTTACATAATTCGTATATTCTCATTTCATTATCTCTTGTGATTCAGAAGCATAGATGTTTGGGACAGCAAACTAGAATGCGTTCTGAAACAAAACATGGAAAGAGAGAGAATGCACACATGTAACATACCAACTAGCTTACATGTACATGCAACTGTGGCCTAATTAAAATTATGTTCTAGACAACTGCAAAAAGAAAACACAGATAATATCAACTATGTTCACAATCTTGTTTTAGAAGCTATCATATAAGCTACTTAACCCTAGTGGTACTGCAGAGAACTTCCATTAGTTTTTAAGGCTAGTTAATAGATCAAAATCTTACATTGTACAACTGCTTATCACTCTGGAGAGAATAAAACTGCAGGTGGCCAGGTTTCCCATTTAAAACCAAAGCTTTAGTTCTTGGATCTATCATCAAACCAGTGAAGATACTCCTGTCTACAAGAGAAGTGATAAACAAAATTAAAATTACAGAAACATTTATTCTTAAAATATGCATGATTCTAAAGTCATTGGGCTCTACAATACCTTTCACTAGGCCTTGAATTACTGCAGACGCCTCAAGGTTTCGGTGGATAACTATTATCTCTGGGGATTAAAAGAAAAGAAAAAAAAATGTTTAAGCATAAATAATTACGGCCAAAACTTCAAGATGAAGAAGTCATTTGAATTGATATCATTCTGAAATATGCCAAAATGCAAAACTACCTTGTTAGCTCAATTAGCTTTGAGTATAATTGGAAAATCAGGAAGATATTATGTGATTTAGTCGAGAAACCAGAAGTGGATGGGGGCTTTTCTGTTAAGAATCTTGTTTTATCAACTGTGCCTAGGAAAACATTTTAAGTGCTGTTTCAGAAACTATATATAGAGAGTATATCTAAAAGAGTTTTGCTTTCAAGTAAGTCATACCCCTAATGGACTGCTCAGTTATGTTCTTTTCTGAAAGTATAAAGAATATAACAGAGCAAGTCATTAGTAATAAGACTTTTTCAGTGGGATCTGGAGTTTACAAAGAGCTCTAGCCTGAGCAGCAATAAGATGAGCAAAGTTTGGAGAAATACAAGAATGCCTCTAGTCCTATCAGAGTTTACAGTGATATTCTCACTACACCGAAACAGAATCTCACAGGAATCTTTTGAAAATGTCACTATATTTAAAAAGACACTGATATCCACTTCAAAACCTTCCCATATTAAAAGGTTTTGCAAACATTAAGTAACACAAGAGTAACTAAATACACGTAAGTCTTCCATTTTCATAAAAAGCAATTATCAAAGTGCTGGATTCTGAGTGACATTTGGGGGTAAAGAGGCTGGAAATAAGGAATACAATTAAAAAATGTTCATTAAATCTCATACTACTACTCAGTTTTAGGTCTCTGTATTTCCCATTCCCTACAGAGGTTAGCTGATTTATGGCATTACACAAATTACGTTTCCTCGCATCTACAAAGATGTAGACATACTGTTATCAGAGTGAGAAGTACAGAACAAGTCTCCTGCAGGTGAGACTGCAATATGCTCAATCGTCGCTCCAAGACGGGGGAGAAACTCCTTATTCTTCTCCATCGCATCACGCCACTCTACGAGCACAGATTCACGGCCTCCACTCAGCAGACTGGTGCCTTTGCGTCATCCAAAGAGGGAAAGGACAGAGTTTGGGGGGGACAAAGTTTAATTAGCACTTTCATGTGTTTTACCATATTTCAGGAATAAACTATTTAAAAATTACACAAATGACATATAAATATCTTTTAATACACTTTCAACACAGGATTTAAAAGGTACTAATTCAGAAATTTTCTTTTCCTGTGGTATTTGATTAGTTTGTTGCCAGAGCCATTGACTTCTGCCAACAGCTAGAAAAGTTGGACGCAACGAACACCCTCTATCCAGACGGCTTCACTGATAAATTTTTCCAAACACTTAAAGAATAAACTGATCTCACTCTTTTTTTTTTTTTGGAGAGGTTTTTCACTATAGGGTGGATGCGTGCGCGCGCCAGACAGACAGAGAGAGACATAGAGACAGAAAGCGAGAAATCACCCCCCAGAGGGGATGGTCACGCCGCAATTCCTTCTCCTCCATTCTCCTCTCGGGATCTTGGGCATGTACGGGTAAGCGCCCGGCGTGAGTTTTAAGCCACCAGGTCCGGGACTCGAACCGCGGTCGACCATGTGGGAGTCCCGCGACATAGCCATTACGCTAACTGCTGGTTCCCACTGATCTCACTCTTTAATGTAAAAAAAGCAAAGAAGACTTCCCAATTTGTTTCATGAGACTATCATAATGCTATAATAAAGCCAGTCTACAAGAAAAAAATAATAATAAGCCACCTCCATGACAGACACAAATTCCAAAACAAAATATTAGCAAACTGAATCCAATGAGGCATTGAAGGAATAACACATTGTAGTTTACTGCAGGAATGAGAGTCATTTCAACACATTAACAAACCAATGTAATTAACTTCATTTATAGAATAAAGGAAAAAAATCATGACTATCCAGATAGATGCAGAATAAAAGAAATGATTAGAACTTGGCATTCATTCATGATTAAAAAAAAACAAATCTCAGTAGTAGTAGTAGACAAATGAACTGAACCTGTAAATTTTCCCAAGGGCACCTATGGAATATCTACAGCAAACATCTTACTAAGTGGTAACATACTGAAAACTTTGATATGCTGTTATCCTTTTAATATATCATCTGATTCTGTTTGATAATATTTTGTTTTGAAAAAAGAAAAACCTTTTTTTAATTTGTTAGCAGGACCATGAGCTTGTGAGGGAGAGAGATGAAGAGACAGAAAAAGAGAGAAAGCACCCCCTCGAGGGGGATGTTCATGCTGCAATCCCTTCTCCATTCCTCCCATTGGATTTTGGGCACGTGTACTTATGTGTCTGCTGTGCTTTTAAAGCTGCCGGGTCTGGAACTCGAATTGTGTAGTAGGTCATGTGGGATCCTGCCACCCTAACAAAACAAAGATCACAAAAAACATAACTGGTTTGGAGTGGTATTCTCTCCATCATGCCACCAGATGGCTGTTTTCAAATTTTTAATCTGTCAAGGAGTGGCTTTAATTTTCATTTGTTTTCTTATAATGTGCTGCTTTTAGTACAGAATGATAATGGTCTTGAGAACTTTGACCCTGTCGTTAAGAGCGCTATTGCCATTTTAATTCAACATTAACTGGATGCCCTAGTGTATTGAAATTGGAATAAGAAAGGCTGAAGAACTAGAATGAATAATTATTTCAGTGATTAATAATTCAATAATTAATTCAGACCTCAAGATTACATCAAGGCACAATTTGTAAAATTTTAGAGAAGCTTTCACAGTAAGTGAATTTAGCTAGGCAGTGAATGTAAAATAATTGTATGCAGTTGGGACCAGCACTGGTAATGGCATAATGGTTGAGGTGCTGGACTCCTACATGGTTAACTGCAGTTTGAGTCCCAGATCTGGTAGCTTGAAACTCACGTTGGATGTGTGTGCATGCCCAAAATCCCAAGAGAAGAAGGAGAAGGGACTGTGATCTGGCCATCCCCTTTGGGGGGTGATTTCTCACTTTCTGTCTCTCTGGCGAGCGCACACGCCCTATAACAAAAATCTCACTTCCAAAAAAAATAATAATTGTATAAAGTCAATTTGTTTTTAAATACTACCAAGTCAATGAGAATATGAAGTGAAAAAATGCTATTAGCAATATCATCAAAAAACCAACAAACACCCAGGAGTAAATCTAGTGAAAGATACATGAAAATCCTACGGAATTTCAAAACCTAAGTCATTGAGATAAATTAAAGACCAGAAAAATAGAGATATCAACTGTGGTTACAGATAACAAATAGAAGTTGGAGGTATATACGGGTTTATATAGATACATATAAAAACCTCTGTACTGTTCACTTTGCCTTTTATCATATTTTTCAAAACAACTAAAATCTGCATTTCTTTTACATAGCTTATTTCCTATTAACTCTTATACAGAATCAATATTGACATTTCACAATTATATTATGTAACTATTCTCATTTCTGAATATTCATACTACTTGAAATATAAAATTGAGAACTGTCTAAAAGACAAGGTTGCCTATTGTACTTCCCATACTAAAGCTCTGACTGGGGGTGAAGTGTTTTAGATTCTTCCTGTTTCTTTCTTTAAGAGCCCATTAGCTTTGGGACTGGCAGTCAGCGTAATGGCTATGTCGCTGGCCTCCCACGTAGTCGACTGCGGTTCGCGTCCCGGACCCAGTGGCTTAAAACTCACGCCAGGCGCGTGTGCGTGCATGCCCAAGATCCCGAGAGAATGGAGGAGAAGGGATTGCGGCATGGCCATCCCCCCTGGGGGATGATTTCTCGCTTTCTATCTCTCTGTCTCTGTCTGTCTAGCGAGCACATGCACCCTATAGCAAAAACCTCTCCAAAAAAGAAAAGAGCCCATTAGCTTTAACTATTCTCTCTTCCCAAATACTCGGCTTAAAAGCAAGTAAGGCCACTATAGAAAGGTGTAACTACTGATCACAGTGAGAGAAGGTAGACAAGGTGAATAAGGGCAGCAAGGCAGAGAAAGAAACTGAAGAGAAACGGCAGAAGAAAAGACCCTGGGGAAGAATAAAGTGCCTGGGACATTCATGCGCACATAGACATAGCACATGAAGAGGAGTGTGGAGAAGATAAATGAGTTATATTTTCCTTTTACTCTGTGGGGTTATGCCTCTTCATTCCCTTTCTAGTCTCAATCCCCATATGTCACAACCATACTCCTCCTCTACTACATACACTAGTCATTGCGCCTCCAAACCAAAGCCTCAATAGCATGAAGATGCCTCCCGCTCCCTGGAGCTCCTGTGAGTTAAAGCCCAGGAACATTCTAAGGAGTAAATCTAGTGAAAGATACACGAAAATCCTACAGAATTTTAAAACCAGAGCAACATCACAGTATCATCTAACTTGTCCTGTAGCCTCCAAAAAACGGAAAGAAAAATCCCTTTTCCTGCCTTCCCATTTTTCGGGCATCTAGCATCTTTTTTCACAGTACCAGTCACAATACACTTACTTAACTTCCACATGGTGTGAGGGTGCTAAAAGTAACTGAAGAGAAAATGTACTTCTCCCTATTTTTGTGGAATACCTTTCTTTCTAGGAGATATTTTTAACTCATGATAGTCACATTCTCATACAGTTTACATGGGACAAAAATAGGATCTGAATTAAAAATTTAAAACTAGTGGGGTTGGACCTGTGTGGTCTAGTGATTCAAACCAAGTGATCAACGTGTGGTATTAATCTTGGCCCCACAGGCTTAAAAAAATGCAAGGTACATGTGTGCACGTCCAAAATCCCAAGAGCACAGAGAAATAGAGAATAAATTGTGGTATGCCTCGGTCTCACAGGAGCTATGCTTTCTCCCTCTTTCTAGGGAGTGCAATATACACTTTGACACTTTGAAGGAGCTGGAAATCTCAAGTATTGTGATATATATGTGTTTATAATTCATTTGGCCCATGCTATTTAAGTCTTTCATTGTTAAATATAGTAAATTAAAATATTTGATTCAGGGCCAGCTCTGTGGCACAGTGGTAATGCACTGCTTAGAAGACAGATACCACATGGTAACCATGGTTCAAACTCCTGGCCTGCTCAGCCTAAAAATGCCAGGCATACATACCAATACCCAAGATCCAATGGGCTATATAAAAGGCATCGTGTATAACCAGATTCTGTGGAGGAGGCCCTCCCTCATTCTCTTTTGCTCACATGTGTGTACATGCATTCAATCATAAATAAATAACACTTGATTCATAAACGTTTTTTGGAGAAGTTTTTGCTATAGGGTGCGTACGCTCGCCAGACAGAGACAGAGAGACGGAAAGCGAGAAATCACCCCCCAGAGGGGATGGCCACGCCGCAATCCCTTCTCCTCCATTCTCCTCTTGGGATCTTGGACACGCATGCACATGCGCCCGGTGTGAGTTTAGGGCACCGGGTCCGGGACTCAAACTGCGATTGACTACGTGGGAGTCCAGTGACATAGCCATTACGCTAACTGCTGGTCCCTTGATTCATAAACTTTTAAAAGCTGATTTTAATTATTAAACCTGCACTTACCTGTCACTGAAAAAGCCAAATCCATAACCATGTCATGGTGCCAGTGTAAACATGTATATGTGTATTTCTTCTCATCATCAAAATTCCTCCTATATGAGAAAACCAAAATTATTACTTTGATTACAGTTGTTATTAATTTAGAAAAATAATGACATACTAAGTATAACACAATATATGCTAAATACAACAAATCATATTGAGCTTACTGGTTTTAATGTGCAAAAAGTGTATTTTCTATCAAATCCAGAGTCACTTTTCCAAACAATATACCATCTAAAGTATAAAGTACTCTATGAGATATTCACTATTGTCAGTCTTTTCTCTTTGGTCAAGGCTGACTTTAGTTCTCTTCAATAAAATAATTAAAGGCGACATGGAATTTTTCACAAGCCCAGCGTCAGACATCTTAAACAGTAAATATAAAATGAGGAACCCAATAATAAAAGCAAAGGAGGGGCTCAGCAG